GAGAAGGGAAACAAACAGAGTACAATCAAAATAGAGAATGTTCATTACAAACAGAACAAAAGAAATGTGTGTACAGAGAAACTTTCAGCTTCAAGGATATTGATATTAGATTTGATTCATCTAGCACCAGGATTAAGCTCTGTTGTGAAATTCATGGATATCTCGATTGAAGAATCGTTAGTTGAATCGGTCATACGAGTTCCCATGTTTCTTGCCATCTCCATGTTCAAACATTCTTTCAGATCCATTACAACTTGAGTCATCGTCGGTCTACGCGAAGAAGACGGATTTAGGCAAGTCATTGCGGTCTCAACAACTTTCCATATCGTGTTTGGATCAAAGTCTCCTTGAAGCTTAGGATCCACAATGCTAGTAATGTCTCCTCTTGATAGCATCAAACCTACCCATTCACCTATATGTGGTCTTTCCCTTTTCTGGTCTATCACGGGTCGGTTTGTTACTAGCTCAAGTAGAACAACACCAAAGCTGAACACATCGCTTTTCTCAGTCAACCAATTAGTTCTGTAGTATCTGAAAACATGGGAAGAAAGAAAATCCACAATGTTAAAAAAGTTAACAAGACAACAATACTCAAAAATGTTTGTAGAGAGAAGTGATTGAGATTTACTCGGGATCTAGGTATCCGGGAGTTCCTGCGACTACGGTTGAGACATGAGTTTCAGTTCCAAGTGGGAAAGACCGTGAAAGCCCGAAATCCGCAAGCTTAGCTTGGAATTTCTCATTTAATAAGATGTTCGTTGTCTTAATGTCGCGGTGAACTATTTGCGGTTTGCATCCATTATGCAAATATTCCAATCCTTGCGCTGATTCCGCTGCTATGCGAAGCCTTCCTTCCCAAGTTAGTACCGACGGTCCACGCTTCCCTGGAATCATATTTTGAATCAGAATCTTAAAACTAGACCCCAAAATGTTTTTACATTTTATGAAAATTTTGTACAAAATCCAGACCTGATAAGTGCTCTTTCAAGTCTCCATTCGCCATAAACTCATAAATTAGAGACATTTTCTCGCCTTCTTCGCAATATCCAACAAGACATGTGAGATCTTTGTGATGAACTCTAAGAAGCAACTCAACCTAACAGGTAAACAACACAGAATAAAATCTAAGAAACAATCAAAACACCAATTTGATGTACTTTAGAGAGACATTTGGTTCAATAGCTATTAAATCTGTTATTACCTCGGCTTTAAACTGTTTGTAACCAAGTGCAGTTGACTCAGTGAGCATCTTAACAGCGACTGGTTCGTTATCCAATACGCCGTAATAAACCACACCAAAGCCTCCTCTACCAAGAACCCTCTCAAAGTTGTTCGTCATCTTAACAACATCTATGTAAGTCAATTTCCGGTTCTTCGCGATCACGGGAGATTCATAACCGTGATGAGAAGTCGAATGTAACGGTGTTGTACCGGTACCTAAGTTGGGATTAAAACCAAGCTTGGCTCTCTTCTTCCTCCTCTTCAGGATAAGGAATGTAACAATTCCAGCTGCAATGAGGAAGACTGAAACAAGTGAGGCTGCAACAGGTGCAATAACTGTCTTTTTCTTCTTCTTCACGCATGAAGCGGACGAACATAGCCCGGTATTTCCTTCGATACTAGAGTTTTTATATAGGTAATTGAAAAACAAATTTGATTAGAAAGGTATAAGGATTTAATCGTTTGTTTTCGTCACTCAAACGCACGCATTATTACCTTAATGAAATCGATCCTCTTTGTGCTTTATCGAGGAGAGTTGCAGGGATTGAACCATTTAGCTCATTGCCTGATAGGTTTCTGCTCAAAACAAAATAAATAAAGGTTAGAAAATGTTAGCTTTTTGGTGTTAATAGGATAAAAAATTTAGATTTAAGCCTCTTTTGCTTGAACTTACATGACTTTTAAGGTTTCCATGTTTGCTAAAAACTCTGGGACCGAACCAGTTAAACTATTGTTAGACAAGTCACTGCAAAAAAAAATCAAAACCAACAAAAAAAACATATCAAACATATGACTTTAATTCGCAATTTTCTATAATACTTGAGCATTATATATACTTACAGAACTTCTAAATTGGTAAGGTCTGATATGTATTCCAATAATTCTCCGGTTAAGCCACTTGAAGACAAGTTCCTGTTTTCAAAGATCAAAGAATTTAAAAAACCTTTGACAAAAAAATCATATAAAAACAAATCAAACTCTGTTAAAAAAACAGAACATAATTTTATACTTACAAAGAAATGATCTTTGGAATCTCATTGTCAATGTCAGTGCAATTAACACCGGACCATCTATAATCTCGTGGCACGCAGGGATCTCCTTCCCAGTCGATCTTGTTCACACCGTAACTCGACTTGATATTCATCATTGCATCAACTGATAACATTTTGTTTTCTTGATCAACAATACACCACAAATG